AAAACCTCTGCACGAGCGACTTGGTGTTCGACCCGGGTGAGGAGCCGAGACCGCGGGGTGGCCGCCGGTTTCCCTTGTGACTTAAACCCAGCCTGGATGGAACCCGTGGGGGATTAAAGCCGCTCTTGCCGGCGTGACGCCAGCAGGGCCGTTAGCCCCGGCGGAGCGCCAGCCTGGGTTACTCTAGCAGCGGGATAGGAAGCAGAGAGGGCCAAATAACGCGGTGCGATGTTAAGTTTCATGTGCGCTGGCGAATACAATCTCCCCACCTCCGGAGGGAAGCGTCCTCTCATTTTCCAGCTGCAAAAGTGAATGATAAGAGCAAAGTTAAATATCTTACCAAGGTTAGAATTTTTTTCGGGGGAAAAAAATTAAAGGAGTTACCAAGCCTCCCTTCTCCAAGGCCCGTGCTTTGATCTGCTGGAAGAGCCTGCGGTTTTTTTGTCTCGGAAATCTTCCAACCTACTTTTTTTATCCACCTGCTCAGCGTGGCAGAGAGACTTTGGTCAAAACCTTCGTTTCTGCCTTTCTTTTTTCGTGCTGGAAATCTGCCCGAACCGCCCGGCCTGCTGGAAAGCATCAGCGAGGAGGAAGTTATAGATGCTGCTGTCGGATTCCTGAAACTTGTTATGTCTTGAAGACTTTTCGTGAAGCTACAAACGCGTGAAGGGAAGAAGATAAGAAAACGAGAACGGAGCCTTAACACAGATCACGTGAAACTGCTGAATCACTGCACAGAAAACTAAGTGAATCTTGGGCCTGGGGGATTTATAACTCGATACCAAGGGTTTATGCCCTGGGGTCTTTTGCGGAGATTGAGAGTTTCGGGAATGTTCCTGTGCAAAGGTGTGTTAGTTCGTTACAGGCCTCGGGGTTGTAATCTTTGTTTTTCAGGTTGTTCTCAAAGAGGGAAGCGGTTTGTGCCCGTGTCCCACGGGGCGCACGAGATTTCAGTCGGCTCCACGGGCCTCAGAGCTCACTCTCTGTCTCTGTATCTCTGCGCTGCCAGGTGTGACCTTCTCCGAGGCCCAGCAAGCCGACCTGGCCTGCCGCGGGGTCGCTCCCATGCCGCGGGAGATGGCTTTCCCTGTGCCGAAGGGGGAGAAGTGGCACGACCTCTACGACTACATCAGGTATGGCCGCTCCCGGCTGCGCTCGGACCCCCCGTGGGTCTGAGACCCCCCC